AAAAAAAACGACAACAACAAAATCCAGCTTTATGGATTGCCTCCTTGCGCCTGTAATCCCAGCACTTTGGGAGGCCGAGGTGGGTGGCTCGCTTGAACTCTAGAGTTCGACACCAGTCTGGGCAACACGGCAAAACTCCATCTCTACCAAAAAATACAAAAATTATCTAGGTGTGGTGGCATGCACCTGTAGTCCCAGCTACTCAGGGGACTGAGGCAGCAAGATAGCTTGAGCCTAGGAGGTCAAGGCTGCAGTGAGCCACGTCCACACCACTGCACTCCAGCCTGGGTGACAAAGCAAGGATTTGTCAAAAAAAAAAAGAACAAAACAAAAAAGGATTGCTACCCCTAGAAATCTTCCAGGTGCTTCTCTTGGATGCAATCAACTACTCTCGACCCCCAAGTGCCTGTGGTTGTCCCAATTACAGCCCTTGTTATTCTGCTTGGCTGGCTTTGCCTTGTTCTTACTCTCTCTTATCTCCTTATCCCTAGTGCTTTGTTCAGGGACCAGCACATAGGAGGTATGTCTATTGAATAAATGAAGTCAGTGAATGAATACATGGATGACTGAGGACCAGTATTACCTGCAGAACTCTAGACTTTAACAAACCTTCATAGTCATGTATCAGCCCATGTCTATTCAGACAAAGCCAATTCATGGAGACAAGATGGTTCTCCAAAGCCCAAGACTCCGTGATAAAATTTGAAATCTGGCAATCTCAGAGTCACAAAGACTTGTTTCAAACATTTCTCTGTTCCTAATCCAAAATCCTTGCTATTTCTTGGATTAATTAATCTTTACACATTTACTTGAAAGCACAATTACCTTGGGCTATATATTAGTTCATTCTCACACCTGCTGTAAAGATACTACCCGACATTGGGTAATTTATAAAGAAAAGAGGTTTAATTGACTCACTGTTCTACATGGGTGGGTAGGCCTCAGGAAACTACAGTCATGGCAGAATGTGAAGGGGAAGCATGAACCCTCTTCACATGGCGGTAGGAGAGAGACGTGCAAGCCGGGGAAATGCCAGACAGTTGTAAAACCATCAGATCTCATGAAAACTCACTATCACAAGAACAGCATGAGAGAAACCCACCCCTGTGATCCAATCACCTCCCTCCCTCCACACGTGGGGATTACAATTCGAGATGAGATCTGGCTAAGGACACAGAGCCAAACCGTATCAGGCTGTAATGGATTACAGCTGAGAAAGTTCCAATTTGTCCTCACCTACGGTTTAAAAACATCAGCCACCCCCGCAGCCAGGTTCCACTGGTACTACATGTTTTTTCTGGTTTGTTTCTTATTGGTAGAGACCTGATGGTTCAACTACAGGTCAGCAAGGGGGTGAGGGGTGCGTTGGAGGAGGGCCATGATCATCCCTAAATATTTAGCTCATTTCCTTCACTGATTTTAGGGGCACAGGAAAGCCCTCTTGTATCCCAACCATTCATTTCCTAACTCTTCTCATTCCTGTAATAGGAGGACAAAACTTCCATTCCAAGACAGAGGATAGAGTGGGTCCTGCAGACTCATCCCAGGGAAAAGGACATGGGCTAACAGCCATACCAAGGAGTAACTGGGAGATGCCCTTCCCAGAGCAGTAAGGAGGCCAGCAGAGTCCTGGGAGCAGCAGGAGGCACAGCTGTCCTACAGAACCTGTAAGGAGACCAGGAAGACTTAAGTCTACCTTTGATGCCCTCCCAGTTTTGTCCAGAGCTTGCCTGGCTTTTGCACTGAATGCAGGCTATTTAAAGCTGGAATTGTTGAGTTTGGATTTCTATCAGGGATTTCTATCTGGTTCCCTCTCCTCTAACATTCTACTGCGAGGAACAAGACCGAGAGGCCCGATTAGGGACACAGAGCTGGGAACAGCACAAATGCAAAAGATGACTGGCAAAGGGGGAAAGGGTGGTTTTGTTTCGGGAAACCTGCTGACATAGGGAATGCTTGTGTTTTTCTGCAGAAATGCTGCCTTCAGTGGACAAAATTCAGCCACAATCAAGCTAATTGAATGCACAAATGTAATATTTTTCCAGGGCACCTCCAATTTAATGCTTGATGAAATTGTGTCTTTCGCATATATTTACAAAACCTTTTCTTCATCCAGAAATGTCTGTTAAAATTGCTTGTAGATGCTGAGATAGCAAATCACTCTTCTAATGTAATGAGGTAAGTCATCTCTATAAACTTTGCTTGCTCAAATGTACTCACATAAACGAAATCAGGCTACAAGCTTTTTTCAATAAATAGAATGAACAACTAGAACTTGATGGCTATAGCATGTTCTGCCTCATTGCTAAGGGATGTTTAAAATTGCTCGCACTCTCTCCTCTCTCTCACAGCCGAGTTTTCATTTTGGTAGTTGATGGAAAAAGGAGGTCAAATAAACTGATGTGGATAAGAAGCCAAAGCCGTTTGTCAAAACACAGAAAGAGGACTGGAGACGGGAGTCATTTAAAGACTAAAAACTGATTTAAAAGATTTCTGTCCTCAAATCATTTGTCTTGCTAAATGTAGCCATTTTGTGAGCCTGGTTTTCCCTGCCTTAGCTATCTTTACTAATAGTTTATACCATGGGAACTTCACATACTGGGGAAGATTCGTATATACAGCCATTTGTGCACAGCCCAGTAAAACTGGTCTGAAAATCAAGAGTCCATGGAAAAGTCAAGACCTTTCTGGGTTCACTCATTTGTTTCTAAATAAGATTTGCCTTCTAACTTTTTAATCTGAAAGACAACTCTGTAGCAAAAGGCCGAATAGATCATCTCACACACACCTAGGTCACAATACAGGGCTGTCGAGTATGGCTGCACGGGTTGTGCACTACACAACACCAAGGGAGATACCATTCACATAGACTAGAATAGGATGAGTGTTCTCTGGGGTTGTGCAACATGATGGCCCTGCCCAGCCCCACCAAGGCAGGGAGAAAAAATCATGTTCTCAATCACAGTGTTATAGTGCAGTAAGTTTTCATAGCTACATTGCATCAATTACCTTTTATTCCTCAAAGAATAAAATCAAAGTTCTTGTTACCAACTCACAGCCTGCCAGGTACCCTTTTCCTTCTCTTTGCAAAGTAAAATTTCTGGGGAGAATAGTCAAACCTCCAGATGGTTCTCTTTATTCAAGAAACAGTTTGAACAGCTTGACTGAGGAGGACAGGCTGAAATCCAGAAGAAAATGGGACCAAATTCCAAGTGCCCTGGTTGTGAGTTTTGAAAACACTGGACTGCCATTGCTTTGTATAGAGGAAAGACAGTAGACAGTGTTTGAAACAGTTCTCCAAGCACCTTTCCTATGTTGGCCTGCCCTTTGGGATTTCCCACATACCTGCTGGCCACACCAGTGGCCAGACTGTCCTGGGCACAGTGGGAGCATAAGTTTCCCCACATTCACCCCATGGCCTTGTCTTCTCCACACCACTGCTTCCTTTGCAGCCTGAAACACACGTATGATTGAGAAGTAATAATGCCTAAATGTTTACTGATCTGAAACATTGCTCCTGACAGCCTCTGTCCAGCCCTATCAATTCTGAGTTCAATATAATTTAGGGTTAATGAGAAAGGTCCTGCTTCTCAGGCAGTTCCTTCAACTCTGCCCCAAGCACACAGAACAGTGTATTTTGAGATTTGAGGCATCCATTCTAGTATGTATAGGCAGGACACATTTGATAAAATACCTGATTTTTGCATAACCTGCTTTTTAAGGACTATCTCAGGGGCTTTACAGGTACGTTATGGGCCACTAGTGACCCAAGAGCCACGCTCCATCCAAATTTCCATCTAAAGTGTGCCGAAGGGCCAAAATAGCAAGCCAGTCAGCTCACGGCTCTATTTGGTCAATGCCATGTTGTTGCAACTGTTGTTTGAACTGAATTTGAATGCCTCCAGCAAGGCAGGCATTCCCCATTTTCCCCCGACTCCCCACTTCTGTCCAACCTGCCCATTTCATACATTCATTTCCATTACCTACCTAGTCCCTGCAGATGACTGAGTGGGCCCTGCATCAGCCAGGTGCCAAAAATGAGTAGTTGACACACCCTCCACTGAGGAGAAGGGTTAGGGGGACTCGTCAGCTCCCCCTCACTCCCAGCCCTACACCCTGTTTAGGGGAAGCACTTGTATAAAAAGGAACCTGCAGAACCCAGGACTGGCAGCCTGGGGACAGTACCTTCACATTTATGAACACAGATAGATATATACACATATATACAAGCATATGCAGTCTATCCATGAAAATATACTGGAAACCAGGCGACTCCAGGGAAGGCCACTGGCTGGTGCGGGGGAGACATAACTTTCACCGAACAGAAAACTGTCTCTGAACTTTTTGACATGTGTACCATTGTATGAGTGACCTGTCATTCATTCCCAGACCCCTAAAAACCTGCCTGGAGTGCTTTCTCCCCGCTGTAAAACCTCACCTTAGATTTTAGGGTACAGCTCATATGGTTCATTTTCTCTGTCATCTTTCTCAATCCTCCCAGTCAAAAGAAATGCCTTCTCTGTGCTCCCCGTCGGCTTGTGTCGGATCTCCTTTGCCTGCCCCACCCTGCCCCACTGCTCTCCCCAGTTTGTGGCTGCCAGTTGTGATGCTTGTTTTCACCCAATTAACCTGTAAAAAGATAAGCAGATGAGGTGTCCCCTCTGGGATCCTTTTTCTCCCCCATAGGTCCTCTCATGCCCTGGGCACATACTGCTGCCCAACAGATCTTTCTATCATAATGGAAATGTTCCCTACCTGTGCTGTCCAGATACACTAGCTGCTGACCACATGTGAACACTGAGCATTCAAAATGTGGGTTGTGTGACTCAGCAACTGAATTTTTTATTTCATTTAAATTTAACTTAAATAGTGACACCTGGATAGGGGCAACCATGTTGTATAGCTTAGTCCTAGAGCTTTCTTCCTCGAGGGACAGCCTCACCAGCTGAACACCAAGCACGTTTAATTTTCAAACAATGAAAGCAGGGCCACAAAGGACGTGTTTCAAAGTACAAATTCAGTTTATTCATCTGTTTATGACACAGTACACAGGAGGCAAAGTGTTTCACATCATAGACTTCACTTCCAGCTCCTTGGAATGTTCATTTCTTTGGCTTACAGGAGAGACTAGACAGGAAGGCCAGGCAATGCTTAGGCAACTAAAATGAGGTTGGGGGCAATGCTAATGTCACCCTCACAGGGACTGTTAGTCGCAAGCTGGTTTTCTAGACCTGTTAGCTGGAAGCATGGCGAGCACCATTTCTGGACGCTCAGGCTGTGTCGGGCTTCAGTCGTCTCCACCACACAGGTACAGCAGCGCTTTCTGGTAATCGCCCTTAGTGTCTTGCTACAAATGGCCCAGGAGAAAAAAGAAATGAGGTATCAGAAAAAAGCCCAGACTCCTCAGTAACACAGAAATAGCCTCAATGCCCAACGAAGCCTCTCCCACGACAAAGAGAAGACTCTTCAGCAGACCTGCCCTGACACAAAGGCCTGGAAGGCCACACCCAAACCACTGCCAGGGAAGCCTCTGGGAGTGTGGTCGGAGGAGGTGCTGGGGAAGACATTCAAGTCTCCTTAGGACTGTGGGGTGGAGGGAGTGCAAGGTACTGAGGCTTGACCTGGGTTAGTGACCAGGGCTGTTCTTACTGCAGCAAGGTCCTACAAACACCCCAACTTTCCTCTCTCGTCCTCGCCTTTCCACAGAGAACAGGGTACTTCCCTAGCTCACTCTGCTATTTCCTGCATTATTAAGGTCAAGTGGAAAGAAGCTGATGAGGTGAGGAACAATTCCTAAGAGTCTAACTGGTCCTTTGACTTTAAACACGTGCCCTAACAAACCTGGCTATAAAAAACCCAGCTCTAACTTCATCCTTGGTAACCATGGACATGGCTTTGGACATCTGAGGAACTTTTAGAAAGCAGAATGGCCATGGCTGTCTGAAATCCACACAGTGGTACCACTGTGAATGCGATCACTTCCTTACACGCAAATGCGACATCACGCCAAAACAGACAGAGGCTAAATTGATTGGAGAGATGGGAGTTCTGAGTAACTGAAAGTTGTCAGGCCCATCCCAGAGGATTTTTCAAGGAATAAATGCATAATAAAAGGAAAATGTAATTGATCTTCCAAGTCTCTTCGGGATGTCAGCAAGCCTTGCAGGACCATCGTCATGAACACCAATGATCATTGTAGAGTAACAGATGTGAAAAATATAAAACATCTGCCTGATTCTACAAAGTCCAGGACAAATCACAAATGTGCTTTCAAAATAAATCCCTGATAGTTGATGACTAGTATCTCTTCCCCAGAGAGTTAGAAAACAGAAAATCACCACCGTGTCATCATTCTGCCAAGCCACCTGCCGGGGCCCGGGGGGCTCTGGCCGGCAGGGCAGGCTGACGCCGCACCTCAGACTTACCTGGATGTAATAGTACAGGGACTTGCCGTACTTTCTCTTGAATTCAGACCTAATTTTCAACATGTCCACTTCACTGCGGGAGACCATGATTCTGA